CCCCCCCCCCCCCCGGTTTCTTAATGCTTTTATTTTTCTTGAAACGGCAGTCAGAAAAAGGTCAAATTTATTGTCACACCCTCAACCGAAACAAACTTGCAGCAGTGTTAACTAGTTTATGTAATTTAAGGCCAAGGTTATATAACACGAAGTACAATGTTATGAATGTACATTAAATAACAAAAATGAAACTTTTGCTAGATTTACAATGTTAATAACTATGGAAGTGTGTCATCACGGTCTGTGAATAGGGTCCATTTAGATTTTGGGATGTGCATACTATAACTAAAGAATGTTTCTTTTTTTTTCTTCTTTTTTTACATGCATCTTTTATTGATTTTATTGTTCCAAGGCGAAGGATCTGACCAGCAGTCTTTTGAACACCATGACATCTGTGAACAACCTCTCTTTGAACTCTGGGTCCAGGACGATACCCATGCAAGGCGGCACCGTATCCTCTACCTTCCCAGCTGGACCCACTATGGGTGGAATGGGCACTATGGGCGTCAGCAACGGTTTTAACTCGCCCATGGGATTCCAGACGGGAGGTATGGGAATGGGCATGAGACCCGCTGCTCCTTGCCTTTATGGAGGCATGGCCACCACTACCAGCGCTCCAAATTTCAGTGCCCTCACCCAGAACCAAAACCAACCCAGCAAGCCCACAGACATGTCAGCCCTAGACTCCCTCTTCACTTCAAGCAAACCCAAAGTCAGCATGAACCAAATGGCCCCTAAACCGGCCCCAGGAGCCACTGCACCCTCCCCATGGCTCAGTCAGTATGGTACAGGCCAACCTTCCCAGACTGCACCCATGCAGGCGACTCCGATGGGGATGACGGGAGTTCAAGGTGGTTTTGGAATGCAAGCAAACCCGTTCTTCAACCCTCAGAACTTCTCGCAACCTGTGGCCTCTTCAACAATCAACGCTGGGGTGATGAAGCAAAGCGCTTCAGTCAACAACGATCTTAAGGACCTCTTCGGATAAAACATCTGCCTTTCGTTCCCGTTCCCCCTTGTGTGGGAATCATAATGAAACCACATCAGCAGGGAAGATGACAGTCAAAATTTGGTTGGGCGGTTAGACATGGTATCCTTGAAAGAGGTTAAAACTTTCTGGTTTGTTTTGTCTTTTTATTTTTTTTTAGCCCTTATCAATGGTGAGCTTCCTGCGGACAGTCAACTTATCTCATCGTGAGAATCAAAAGCAGACAGCACCAAACAAACATCATGTTTTTACAGAAAGCTTGGGCTCTTCTGCTGAAAGCTGCTTCAGTCGGTGGATGCCTTGCTTTCGTTGTACCATTTGATAAATTTTTTGCCTTTTGCCTCACGTTCACCTCACGTCTGAATGAGCCGACTTCCTCTACCAGAACAAACCTCATCGATGGCCTCAGGATTTGCTGTTGTGCTGATCGCGTCTTGCAAAAGGAAGTCTCTCAGTTGTGTTCTCCCTTGTCTTACATACAACGATCATGTGAGAAGTAAAGAAAGAGCTGGTGCAGTCCATAATTCGGGCCTGAATGAGTGTTTTTATACTGTGTTCTTTGTGTCTGTATTGTATCTGGTGATTTATTGTTTGAGTTTCATTCTGATTACATGATCCACTGAGGTAAAATATCTTAAAGGATATTCATATTGTAGGTGCACTAAATGTAATAGAGCTAAAAAAAACAACAACACCTGTAGGGTTTGAGATGTTGTCAGTACTTTAAAGTGAGTTTGTGTAAAACAGAATCCATGAGCTTCATTCATGAAACACCTAGCTGATTTATTTTTTGTGAATTTATTGTTTGTTAAACTCTCTCTTGAAAAAAAGGATCATATTCCATCCCGAAATCAAAAGACAAAGTCAAATATGCAAAATTGCAGGGTAAATCATGCGTTACTGTAATACAATAGTAAAAATCTCTTTTAGTCAACATATTAGGGCTGCACAATTAATCAAATTTCTAATCGCAATTACAATTATGGTTGCCACAATTGCGTAATCGTTCAAAGTCCACTTATGTTATTCTGCGTGCTTGAGATGCGTTTTTTTCTTTCTACATGTTATCTTAAGGGTTTTTCCCATTATTTTCATTTTAGGTTTAGTATAACATTATAATACCATTCATATTTTTACTTTTTTATAATTTAAAGAAGAAACCAATCCGATGTATAGTTGACATTTGAGGCTTAATACTATCGAAAAGCACAAAGTTTTTCAGTTAGAGTGTTTCATAAAAAAATACGGCATGCAGTTGCATCAAACAGTGGTATAAACATCATTCAATGTAAATTGTGATAATGGTAATTAATAATCGCAATTACGATTTCAAGGGAATAATCGACAATTATGATTTTTGTCATTATCGTGCAGCCCTAAAACATATTACATTTCGCACAATACTTAACTACATCTTTGTATGTACTTTACAATTTTCATTCTGTTGAAATAATATTTTTTCCTGTTACGGTAATGAGAATGTTATTTTTTTTTCACGTTATGGTAATGCGAATGATAAAAAAATTACGCATTATGAGAATGAGAATGTTTTTTCACTTTATGGTAATGAGATTTTTTTTGTTTTGTTTGTTTTTGTTTCGTAATCGGTGGGGAAATTAGCTTAATTGTCAAAAATGTCAATGTGTAAAGTTAAGAATAGGCTTCTATATCAAAATATACAATTTGCGCATTTAGACTTGGGGATGAAATATGCATTTCCTAGAGTTATTTTGAAAAGTTGCAGCTATATATGGTAAATTGTAGTGTTAAATTGAGTGCAGCATCTTGTATACGACCAAGTTTTAAAAGAAGTGTGTGTTTCATGAATGAGGCCTGATGTGTTTGTTTCCCTTTTGGTTCTCTGCCGTTTGTTAAACCTGTATTATCATGTGATTTTGTGTTTCTTAGGGAAGTTACGGATCATGCCATGGCGTTACATTTGGTCGTTTTTTGTTTTGTTTTGTCTGATATCATTTTATGCTTTCCTGTTGTAGGAAGTGACCAACTAATTTCCTTATCATGTTATTCCATATAGAGCACAGCAAATCACCAAAATGTGTATTATTTCTGGGAGAGAAAACAAATGAAATGAAGTGAACTGTATATATAGGTGAACTGCCACTTCTTTTTTTAACTCCGTTGCAAGTGAATCACTTTCCTGAGGAGAATCTTTAATATCCAGACAGGTTTTATTCAAAGGGAATGCTTTTCCTGGTCTTATGAGTGAGAGGCCTTATGTTGAGAGTTGTGCAATAACAGCTCTGTGATGGAGATTGTGAAAATAACTTTCTGTACGAGTGTTTCACTTCATGCAGTTTTCAGATAGTCTAAATTAATGTAGATAAAATATCTGGATTGTTTTAATAAAAAAAAATAAAAAAAAGTGAATGTATGGTTGGAAAGATGGTGATTTTGGAATCAAATAAATTGATTATTTAAAGGGAAATACCTTTTCACTTCAGTCTTTTTTTTTTTTTAATTGGCTTCACAGATAGTTTATAAGATTAAAGAATAGAAATCACTGTTTTTCCTTTTTTTCTGAAATATATACCGAGTAGAAACCAGCAACAGTTGGTCTCCAGTTAGCTAGTCTTTACGGAGTGGTAACTGAATTTAAACAAATCATCAGACTGAGACAGCAAATATTCATTAGTGGATCTCATGAAGTTTGTCTAGAAAAGTGCAGGTCATGTTTCATGTCATATTTTTGTATAAGAAAATGAACCTATTTGACGACTTTTAAAATTAACATTGAGCACACCGTTTACATGCACACCGGTAAGCTGATAACTCACAAATATCAGCTTCTTAAAATAACCAGTTTTCCCCATTTACATGCATATCAGTAACCTGACAACGCAAGTAAGCTGCGTTTACATGACTTCATGAGTCAGGTTATTTCCCTGTAGTGACATCAAAATATAATCATTTATGTATCTGACTCCGAGTATTCCATACATTTGTCAGTTGTGATGTTAAATTAAGCTTGCAACATGTCATAGCCAGAAACTTACAGCTCATAGCCAGTGGTTCCCAACCCTGGTCCTGGAGGCACCCCAACACTGCATGTTTTGCATGTCTCCTTAATCAAACACACCTGATTCAGGTCATCAGCTCATTAGTAGAGACTCCAAGACCTGAAACTGCAGTGTCAGAGAAAGGAGACATGCAAAATGTGCAGTGTTGGGGTGCCTCAAGGACCAGGGTTGGGAACCACTGATATAGGCTATTATCCTTTCATGCAGTTATAAACGCAGCATTGTGACTGAACCAGTTCTGCTGCACGTGATGGAACACATTTTTATAATTTTCTGAGTCATGAAAAAGTCTGCTTTTGTGATGTATTTCCTTCTTTCTTTACTGCGAGACGCTTGCTCGGTCTAGATGCGCTTAACGCTGCACTAACGATGTGTTCCTGTTACGTATCACACATTTGCTCTTCAATAAGCCAACAGAAAGTGGGTTATTGCGTTTACATGCCGCGCGAAATCGGGGTAAGTGCCCAAAAACTACCTGTGTCGACCGGTTTATGCTTACGCCGTTTATGACCTTACTCCGATTTAAAGAAAACGGGTTACCGCGTTCACATGTCCACGTGCGTTTTTGGCTTATTAAGCATAATCGGTTTAAGAACGTGCATGTAAACGGGCTCAGTGTTTCCATGACAGTTAAGAACATTTCAATAAAATGATAAAAAATTATATATTTATAATCCAGTTTTATTTTTTTGCAGGTTTTAATAAAAATAAAAAAAGAGAAGGGTGTGCTTCATTGGCATGAAAATAATGTTGCAATTCATTAAAAGTGGCCTGGACATGTACTTTATGAGTCATTTTCATTTGTATATGAAGAAAATAATCTCCCCCCCCCCATCATTTATATATATTTAATAATATATAATTACTCCCATAAAATTAATTGGCAGTTTAAAAAAAAAAACATTGTACAGACATGAATGTTAAAAGCTGTCACAAGACATAGCCAACTGCACAGCAAATGCAATCTACAAATCAAAGTAAATGCATTGATAAAATAAATAAAAATAGAAATTGTTTCAAGTACATAATCACCATGAAACCCATTATTTTATGGCAATTAATAAAACAATATAGGCACATAAGTTAGCATGGACAAAGTGAACATCATTTTGCTATTTCGTATCGCATTTTCTGAGAATGGCCAGCAGACATTGCATGCACCGGCGTCCTGAGATTATTCATATAAAGCTACAAGTAAATATTAAAGTAAACATAAGATGAGGCAGGTGAGGTCTTATTGCTGAAGGCGGCGTACAGATCTCTTGGTGTTAGTAGACAGGTTGGTCTGGGTCATGTCTGCAACAAAACACAAGAGACTTCATTTACTTTTGTACTAAACACCATGCATTTCTGTTAGTCTGTGCATTCACACACCTGAGAAGTCTAGCTCATAGCTGAATCTGCCCGCTCTGAAACGCATTGTCCCAGTGGAGTCCTGCTGGTACTGCGCTTCAATATCTTGACTTGACACACTGCAATATCCCCGAGAACCACCCTACACAGAGACAAAGTGCATGGTTATGACACAGAAGGCAAAAGGTGTGACTGTCTTGGTGTTGTTGTGCAAGAATACAGGTCAACGTGTCTCAGAAAGCAGGCAGCATGATGGCCACATGATTATTATTATTTTTTTTGTAAACGGCTGTTTATTTTTCTGAATTCATCACCTGGATACAGTTATAGAATTAATTCACTAGCAAGATACCACCTAATAAACACTCAAGAGACCACCTAACAACTTCTGCAACCATCACTTAAAATAATAATACATGTATATTAAAAAAAAAAAAAGTTTTCTATTTACTTTCATATAATCATTCCATTGGTCATCCATGTCCATGAACTGCCAACAAGCTTGTGACAATGTACTGCGATAAGAAGAAGAAACATTAAAAACATTTATTGTAATGCATACACAACATCAATGATAAAACCAATGTTTCATTTTTATTTTACTATTATTATTATAATTACATAATTTTAATTATTATAATTTAATATAATTTAATTATTATAATTGTTTACCGAGGAATTTACCAATTAATTCTTTAAAAATCCTACAATGTGATTTTCTGGATTTTTTTTCTCATTTTGTCTCTCATAGTTGAGGTATACCTATGATGAAAATTACAGGCCTCTCTCATCTTTTTAAGTGGGAGAACTTGCACAATTGGTGGCTGACTAAATACTTTTTTGCCCCACTGTATAATTATAAATTGATTATTATTATTTTATTTATTTACTTTTTTTACAGAATAAATTTTCTACAAATATTTTCGAACTTTCCATACAATGAAATGTATGGAAACTTTTTGTTTATTTTCTGCCAGAGAATTTTAAAAATGTAATTGCAACTTGACCTTTTATCTCACATTCTGACTTTTGTTCTGGCAATTCTGAATTGAGAGTTTACATTTCACAATCTGGATATTTTTTTTCCCCCTGAATTTTTAGACACCTGACTGCACGCACTTGCATAATACTGAGAAAAATGTAAGAATTGTGATATATATATATATATAAGTCTACTGTGAGATTAAAGGTCATTAACTTTTATATATTTATTCTGTAGTGGAAATGAGCTTCTATAGAAATGTCCTCTTTTATGAATGGATTAATACCTGTTTGTTTGCTGGATTCCACTGGCGATTCTCCTGACAGCTCTTTTTGTACCATATTTATTGTTCACTTGATACATTCCTGCAGACATGAAGACTATATAAATATACTCAACAATAGGTATACAGTATAACCTTAACATTATGTTTTCAACTTGTAACACATTTCTCATCTTATAGACATTCCCTAGCAGACGTTTTAGAACAAAGGTCCTCTGCTTTTTCCTTATGTTAGTAGTACACTGCAGACTTCTATATCTGAGGGTTTTGTTATAATGTCTTATTGTATCTTACCACTGAAGTAAAGAGAGTAAGAGAATCGTCTGGCAGTGAATGAAACTTGGCACTGCGGGTTGAGCTGATACAACCTCTCGATTTCAACACTATCCAATGAACATCCCTGTAGACACACAAAACGTCCAATGAACTGTTAGGTTAAATGTCAAGTTCACATTAAAAATAGCATTTGATTGAATAAGTGGATTTGGATGTGATTACAGTGTTGCTTGGTAGCGTATAGATACTAGAACTCACTGGTTTCTGGAACTCGGTCCAAATGCCCTCATCACCCATAAACTCCCAGATGTGTTGAGAAGAAGAATTCGTAGGGTTTGCAGAGGGAGATGCCAGAGTTTGTGAACTGCATAAAAGCAAATCAAAGGCTTTTGCTACAAATACCATTTTAAAGATATTGGGTATTCGTCATGAAAAATTAGATGAAGGGATTTCTCTATAAATAGTTGATTAAAACATACACTGGAATACATCGATAGCATAGCCTATTAAAACCCTAAAAAATGAATTTGTCAAATAAACATATCGTCGAATTGGCTCTTAGGACCGAATTTAAAGTGCTCCAGAGTCCACAGCTGCAGTGCTGACCCAGTTTCGGTTTCTTTTCAGCCTCTTGACTCGTGATTTCCAAAGCGAGCTTCACTACGAATGATCAATGTGAACAAACTGGATGCGTTGTGGCTGGCGGAAGAAAAAAAAATCAGTGCCTAAAGCAGTTTTATAAAATGTGCTTGTGTTAAATTCCTTTTTTATTTTGCTTTTAGTAGCAGCTATACTTGTTCACCAGAAACAAAGCAGTGAAGTAGCCTACATGCTTGAAAAATTAGATATTTTGGAGGAAAAAAAAACAAAACAAAACAAAGAAACTTGATGAATGGAAAGGACAAGGCCGAAGCCTGGCACGAGCTTAGCGTTTCCAGGAGGGTTTGTCTCACCGCCTCTCAGGATTCCAACAAACCACACGACCGGGAGGGTCCCTGGAGCAGGGCCTTTAAGGTCGGAGAAGATCCCCGCCTTTCAAGATGGGCTTGTCCAATGAGAAAGATGGAAATTCCGAGCAGGAGGTGGCAATTGCTGGAGGGTTTACGACCCTTTGTCTCTAAGCATGGTAATTTGCAAATGGACTTGAATCGAAATTACTAAAGGTTCTCAGGACCCTAATATATATTGCCTATGTACCAATATATAATATACACGCTTGTTTCGATCATAAGAAGGCGAATTCATAGATACTAGACAAGGTAGGATTACAAATAGTGAAAGGATGACAGGAGTGTGTTTCGATTATAAGCCTGCATAACAGTATACAATTTCAAAGACAAAATACACGATGACAATAATATACCCAATGACCTGAAGGATCATGTGTGTTCATTCAAAGAAAGGTTTTCCTATTAATTAATTAGCAAAGAAAAGTCCTTCCCTTGTGGATTTTCCTTATGGGCAAGGAAGCAATTTTCTTCACCTAAATTCCAGGAGGTCGTAAATGTATCGGGTGTCAGCATTGCTATAGAACCAGGGGCCTGTTCAGCTTCCTGGGGTGTTACAGAGTATTTGTTAAATCTAGCTAACAAAATATGTATTGTGTGTTTGAGTGGTCCAGACGCTACAGCCTGTTCTAGTACACCCCCAAAACAAAATCAAGACTTTGTAAAAGAGGACCCCTTTAAACATTTTTGAAACCAAATGCTGTTAGACACAATACATAACTTGATATGTGATTGGAATTCATTAAAATACTCTATAGAAACATGTTAAATACATGTGTATTAGTTAAATAAGGCCACATTTATCATTTTATTTTTCATCAATTATTGCATATAAAGGCATCCATATGACACTACAGACACTTTGCATAGCATGTTGTTACCCAAGTAAGCAGTTCAGTTTGTAATTAAAACCCCCAGTAAACACAGGTTCACCCAAATGATTGTTCATAATGTCATAATTAATCATTTGATGCAACATTGATTCATTGTACATTTTGCATATTGTAATGTAAAAATATGCTGCATCGTGCATTGGATGATATTGTAGATTGTATTGCACATTGCTCAATATTTACACAGTGTGTGTATCCTTGATTTTTTTTTTATCCTTTGAGCACGTCTGTGAGTATGTAAATGCTAAAGATGGAAAATGAAACTGATCAGCTGGAAAAAGTTTCACATGCAGTGTGTAAACATTGGTTCTCAGGCAGTTACCAACAGGCACTTAGAGTAAATACTAGCAAAACGATGCAGTATAATGCCTGTATTGTTCAGGCACATTGGTTAGTAAGAGTAATTATAGAATAACCAAAAATGATAGCAGTTTAAAGTATCTTAAAATTTCTTTAAGATAAACAGAAAGCAAAAAATATGCTTCAGGTTGCTATAGGCACGTTTCATATTTGTCTTCAAGTTGATGTGGGAAGCAGCATTTAAAATAATTCATATAAACTTAACATCAGTCAAAATACCTGAATAAAGACTTCGAATTTCTATTTTCCACAGGCAGTTTACCAAATAAAACAATAATCCTGCATAAAACATTCAAAATCACAATCACTAACATTCATATCAGCCAAAATCACTAAATATCGTTGTGTTTACATCCACCCCAGATTCGATGCTTATTTGTTTGTTTGGATCGTGAGTATCAGCCAACATCTTCTGCAAGACCTTGAGCGCCCTTTTTACTTTTACACACGCCTGACCTTGCGTTCGGTCTTTGTTTTCTGGTTAACTTGACTCATCTCTGAATGAAAAGAAAGAGAGAAAACAGCATCGTTTATCATATTCAAATCATTACTTTCATCATGCATTTTAAAGTTTGACTCAAGAAAAACCCAAATATCATGTGGCACCTTATATTAGAGACAAAAGGAGACATTCGATAAGTTTTGCAATCCTTCAAATGTTTTTGCTGACATACTTGCAAAATCCAGAGTGTAACTGTCCCTGCTCACAGTAAAATTCATGGTTGTTTGGTTTTGTTGGTAACACCGCTCAATGTCAGCATTTGAGACTGAACAACCACGCTGTTGAAAAACAATATCAAGATCAGTGATTTTAATCTCTCTGTGGCCATAAATACAGTAGTCAGTGTCATGAATTAAGGGATAATATACATTCAGTCCATAATTATTGCAAACTAAACCCTTACAGGGTGATCAGGACTGGTATTGTATCGCCCTGAAAGGTTTTATATTGCAGTAATTACTGGTTGAATGTACACTATATCCCGCTTGTTACACGGCTATCAAATATTATATGGTCATGAAAAACGTGTTAAAATTTCCGTATATATACCATTTTTATATATAATATTTGAATTTTGTTACAATTATTTTTATTGTAGATTATCTTAAACAACGCAAAATTCAACTCAAAATAAATTGTTGCTCCCTCGTTTCAAAAGACAGCGTCACTCATTAAAACATCAAAAACAGTCTGCCTAGCAACAACATAAGCATTAACAATACAATATTATTAACAATATTATAATATTACTTTATATTATATTTTTATTATGTATTATCGTTAATCTGCAAGCCAAATTACTACAATTAGCTAAATATATACTTATTCCTTGTTTAATTGTTTTAACTGTTCAGCTGAAAGAAGCATGTAAAACCAGCCGAAACGGGTTTGCTGGTCTTAGCTGGTCTCCCATTCAGGTCAGGCTGGTCTGTTGGCTGGTTTTGGGTACTTTTTAGCTTGGAGCTAAACACCAGATTGGTCCCAGTGTTATTATAGTATCACTGAGATACTATTATATTAACATTTATACTGAATAAATATTACCTTTATTAATATTTAAATTGGTTTATATTTTTCTATTTTAAAGTTTTAGTAATTTTGTTGTGTTTTTATGTTTTTTTATGTGTTTTTTTAATGTCATGTTAATGTATTTGGTCTTGGCGGAATAGATCTGCTACGCTGCTGCTGTTGGTTATTGCTGTATTTGTAGATTATTGCTGCTGCTGCTGCAAGCAAGTACTGGAGCTTGCTACAGCCAATACATAAGCCGATATGGTGCTGTGAGTATTTAAGACATACTGCTGCTGCACAAATAGCATATAAAATAACCTGTAGCAGATCTATACAGGTGGAGCTGGGGAAGGTGGAGGGTTTCAGAGGAATTCTGAAAGCGCGCTGCAATGCTCAAGCGAATGCTAATCAGTCATTTAAATGTAAAGCAGCAAGCTCATTGGCTGCGTATGCAACATGAACCAATCAGCTTGTAGTCTCAGCCTCAGACGTCATGCCCACGGAACGCTGCATATGGCACACAAAAGTAGAAATACTTCTTGTTTCGAAGATGAACGAAGGTCTTACGGGTTTGAAACGACATGAGGGTGAGTAATTAATTAAACTTTTTTTAACTAAAAAAGAACTATCCCTTTAAACTGTAATCCTGCTTGGTCCAGCTGGGAGACCATCTTAAACCAGCTTCGCAAAAAAAGAAAAAAAATACTGCTGAATCCTTTTGAGGATAATTTTACTACTGACACTAAACTAATTATTGTTTCTAATGTACTGTTTTAAAAAGACAGCCACCAGAGGTGATATAAGAGTCACTAAAGTAGCACCGGTATGTTGCTTTTAACAATGATCAAATATATTGACAGTTTGACAGTCATTATATAAAATAAGATTCAAATCAACTACTCAAGAGAGCCGTTTAATTCATTGAAATTAATTGTTGAAATTAATTTATACACATAATAATATACATTCAAAATCCTCATTAGCATGTCCAAAAAAGCATTGTGCATTTGTTAAAAAAAAGAAAAGAAAAAATGTTTTACCGTGTTATTGTAGGTGTACCACTGATCTTTCCCTTTAAACTGCCACTCTGGAGTTTTATTTGTTGAAGGGCTGAACATGTTTTGGTTGAACTGGATCATCGAAGGTCAGAAGCAAAGACATTGGTTAATAGAATGGGATTAAATACATAAAGGATATTTGTGTTGTTTAACATTTAATTATTGCAGGTTTGCGTCATATTCTGAGTTGCATTATTAGTATTCATTTTGAGGAATACTGAATCTGTATTTGTTTTTTGTGAGTGAGATGAATTAATGCATATTCATATCTATTTTAGAACTACAGGAACATCTTCTGATTTCTCTCAACATGGGGACAGGAGAGCTGTCAATCAATCAATTGGGGAAAAAAAGTAACTTGCGTTACTTATTTGAAAAAGTAACTCAGATATTCTCTTGTAAATTAAAAAGTAATGCGTTACTTTACTAGTTACTTGAAAAAAGTAATCTGATTACATAACTCGCGTTACTTGTAACCCCCAACACTGGTGAAAAGGTTTTTATATTTGCCAAAAATATAACTTTTTTATTTTAAAAACAAACAAGCAAGCCCTGTCCAAATTTTAAAAGTAATGCAAAAGTAACGCAACACATTACTTTCCATAAAAAGTAACTAAGTAACATAATTAGTTACTTTTTTATGGAGTAACGCAATATTGTAATGCATTACTTTTAAAAGTAACTTTCCCCAACACTGGTAATCAAATGCATTTATGCAAAATACTACTTTATATTCATATAATCTTAAACAGTAAGATACAGATGTGATAAAAGCAGCCCATCATGTTTTTTTTTTCAGCTACAGATTCTTCTTTTATGTAAAAACAGTTTCAGCTTTCATGTAATATGAAACTTTATCATTTCTTATAATGCCTTTTATTTACATATTTTATGGACTTTCTTGTCCTAAACTCAACTGAATATACCCAATATAAATGATCCATTATAAAAATCCATCATATTCCAGATCCATCATACAAATATTCATGATCACATTTTAAAACTATAATCTTAACAAATAGTGAAAAATATGGAAATACATTACATATTATATTCTTATTTATTTTATTCCTATGTATTACTTAGTATTACTGCACAGAGCATTTTAATGTGGACATTTCAAAACCAAATGATGCCAAAAATTTGATGTACTTCTATACATAAACTGATAGCTAACATTTAGTCTTAGCAAGATAAAGCAGTCTGCCATTTTATGCCAAAATATATAAGCAATTTCCATCACTGTCATTACCGTTATTGTCATTTCCACCACACTTTTGTTTTTGAAAAACGATGGTTCAGACAAAATGAGGAAAATGTCTCCTGTGAAATCATGTATATCCCACTAGAATATTATTAGTGGACACAGGTCATATGCATTAATGTAAAACTCACCTTCTCTCCATACTGATACCAGCAGTGGTCACCTCTGTAATACCACAGCCATTCTGTATCTTTTGCGCTCATACGCCGCACTTTAATATTTGTTTTCTGAAGAACTCTCATTTTAGTGAAATCAATAGAAATAACCCTATAATGCAAATGAGAAAGATATATAGCGCTAAATATAGAGCTGCAATAGTTAAACTACAAGCACAGAATAACAGGGGATGTGTTTTATGGTATGTTACAGTGTACAGGAATGAAATGTGGGAAAATAATGAGAGAATTTGAATTTGGGGTGACATTTTTTATCTGGTACACTCAAGTAAATAATAAAATTACACATACCCAGCTTGGGTGTTATAGATCTTGATTCCTTTGATGTTGGGGAGTGAATACTGGGCTTCTAGAATGTGATCATTGGAAATGTTCTTCCAGCCCTTTCCAATATTCAACTGCCATTTGTAGGGCCCATCAAATTCTTCATCAGTCTCTATTTCTGATTAAAAAATTATAAAATGATTAGTGAGGCAGACTAACTGATTAAACAATCAAACATACAATGTGCAATGCAATGCAATGCAAGGGTGTAAAATATGAGTGATTGTACTTAATTACTAATACAGTCCTCAAATATGATTGGCCGTGCTGTATATGTAATATTCATTTGAGTGTTGCTATTGTTAACTTGAACTATTAAAAAAGTATTTATTTATCTTTATTTTTGAGAAACTTTTTAAAAAACGGACAATTAATGACAATGACAATTAGAAATGTTGCCTTGCCAACTAACTGAAAAATAATTTAAGTACTTACATTTCTAAAATTGAAATAAAAAATAATATAATTTAAATAAATATTGAAGAAATACCTGACAAAAGTGCATAACCAAATTACTAAAACTTAAACTGAAAACTAAAAATATGAAAGTAAATGCCAATTCAAAACATTATATATATATATATATATATATATATATATATATAAATTCTATAATAGTAAATACTAAATAATAATACTGATTCATTAAAAAAAAGTCAATGAAATAGATTTTTGGTCTTTGATGTAAAATGACATATTATATTATATATTCTATTCTATTCTATTATATTCAACAATTAATTTCAGCAATAGTTCAGTCTTGGAACAAGAGTCATTCCAAGAGTGCTAAAATAACCTGGACACATGCCCAGTCAATCACATCATTATATTATATTATATTCACCATTTAAAGATTTCAGAAAAAAGGTTTTAGGATAACATGGAGTCTGTCCTTACGACCAGTGTGTTGTAAAGCTAAGAATTTTTGTTTTGCTTTTAAATACTTAAATGAATTACATGTGGGTGTAATTACTAGATATATCAATTATATTACAAATGGAAATGTTTTTACTTTAGTTTAAGTATGTTTTGTGTAAGATACTTTTTAGTGAGTATTGTTGATACAGTACATTTTTAATCGCTGTATATAAAATTGATCAGTATACGTTTACACCCCTATACACGCATACCTGCAAATGAGGGTCTGCTTCTCTTTTTTCTGCCTTGTCTTGACGACGAACTCTGAACGTTGTGGTTGAGACGACACCCGGCACCAAACTCGCACGAATCCTTCAGGAAGTCATTGCATATGTGCTCATTCCTACACTTGTCTCCATAACGGCAGTGACCCCGATTGTAATTCATACAGACATTCCGCTTGAACACAAAGCATCATAATTGATTCAGATTTATTCATCGATGAAGCTGCAGCTGCATTCGCATTCAATAATATGGTTCTTACTAATCATCTCTTTTTACTAGTTTACTGCTTTCCTTTGAAATGTCTTAAGAGATGTACCTTGCTAGATGTTTGTGCATCTTCTTCACTTTCAGAGCCAGAATCGCTGGCTGCCTCAGAATCTGTGTCACTGTCATTGAATTCTGCGCAGCTTTCACTAGACTGTTGGTTGCTGCCTTCATCTAGGAAGAAAGAAGTCCTCTTTATTATTATAAGAACACTTTTAATCAATATACAATTTAGAGAAAATGAATTTAGAGGGCTTGACAGTAATATTATATATATATATATATATATATATATATATATATATATATATATACACACACACACACACACATATATATATATACT